TGGTGAGAATCTTTGTCTTCTTGACATTGAGCCTCAGTCCATATTGAAGGTTGCAGTCCTTGACCCTCTGCAGTAAGTGCATGAGGCCCTCCGTTTCAGCGAGCGGGGTTGTGTCATCTGCATAACGCAGATTGTTGATAGATCGTCCACCAATCCTGACACCACGCTTCTCCTCAGAAAGCCCAGCCTCTCAGATAATCTGCTCTGCATGCAGGTTGAAAAGGTATGGATCTAGGAAAGATTAAACAATGTTTAATCCTGTATGTTTTAATAATGTAGTTGAGGAATTATTAATAGTGGAATAAGGAGCAGGTTGAATGAGTTTTGATGAAGTCAGTTATCAGTTAAAATTGTAAAAGCTTTCTTTTCCTTCTTTCATAAAAAATATAATATGGAAAGAAACATTCTAGATCATTGAGAAACTGCCTTCAAAGTGTGAGAGAACAATTTGGACTTTGAAGTAAAATATTTTCATTTAAATTCATAACTTACCTAGTATGACCTTGGACTGGTGTGTCAGTTAACTAATGCTGTGTAACAAACCTAATGTATTTACAGCCAATATTTATTTTGCTTGTATGTCTATTTGCAGCAGGGACAGCTCATGTGTGTTCACTTAATATATCAGATGAGGTGACCTGAAAGCTGGAGGCTGGAATTACCTAAAGATTTATTCATTCCCATTTCTGACAGGGAAGACTCAAAACAGTTGGGGCTGCTTAGGTTTTTCTATCTCCGTTTTGCCTTTCTACACAATCTCTATAGCATGGTGACTTCTCAATAGCCAGACTTCTTAAATGGTGGCTCATTGTTATCTAAAACATTATGTTCTTGAAGAGAGAGTCAGATAGATTTCTGTATTGTCTTTTTAAACCTAGCCTTGAAAATAATGTTACATCACTTCTGCTAAATTTTGTTCATTAATTTATTTGTCACAAATTTCTGCTTATTTTCAAGGGCAGAAGAGTCTACCTTTTGTGAGAGTTGTATAAAAAAATGTGTGGGCATACCATAAAGTTAATCTAACTGTTGAACATCTCTAAACTTAGAGTGATTTGAGGCAGACTGCATAATCTCTAAGAATAGTTCTGTCCTCTTTCGTAAAGTTGGCGTATATTAATTTAACAGTTATGAAGATTAGTGCAAAAATGTGGAATTTCTTGACATACTACTTATGAAGTAGTGTATGAATAACTTAATATTCTCTCTCTTTCCATCTTCTAGAATTATTAAATTCCAGTTAACAGCCATTTATTTTATTTCCAAAAATAAAGGAGGAACTCACTCATATTTTTTTTGAAATGCAGCATATAACAAAGAAGACAAGACAAACTATAGTTGACTACTAAGACATAAATGTATGGAATGGTCTGAATGGTGTGATGCAAAGAGTAGACAGACTATGTAGTAGAATGTGTGCTCAGTATTAGATGGTAGAGAACTAAAAGCACATGATGTATGTGTAGTTCTTGGTGGACGGCCTCCCAGGTATATCTTGTGATTTGTTTTCCTTTCCTTTACAGTTCCTGAGAGAAGACCTCAATTACCATGACCCAACGGTGAAACACAGCACATTCCATGGTGAGGATAAGCTCATCAGTGTGGAGGATCTTTGGAAGGCATGGAAATCTTCAGAAGGTACTAGATAATTTGATTGTTTAATCCTAACTGAGGTAGCTCTGATGGCCTAGTGGCAGGAAACTGCACTGCACTCCTGGAGACGTGCAGTTTTAATCTGCCAGCTTCTTGACTAGAGAGGATGAGAAATCCCCTCCTGTGTGGAGGGTCAGCTGTGGATGGGTTCCAACTTGACAGTACTCAACAACAGCAATAACAACAACAATCCTAATTGCTGGACAATTTAGAGGAGAGAGAAGGAAATGGACTATAAATATGACCATTTTGTTGTTGTTGATATCCCCATGGCACAAGTTCAGCATCATAGCAAACCCAGGTTACCTCATACAGCACATTGACAAAGAGTGATATGCAAAGTGGAAGAATGTTCCTCCAGATGTAACAGCCCTAGTCTCCTGTCTCATTTAGCAGTGGTTAAATGTTGTCGAGTCGAATATGAATCAGAGTAAGCTTTGCACAAAAGAGCTGAACTCTGTTCTGTAATTAGCATAATTTCTGTACGTCAATAAGAGAGTCTGTAGAGTTTCCAGAAGCATCTGGTTTAGGAAGTGGATGCCACTCCTTCCCAACATGAGTCATTCTGAAAGCTCATCCAACAGCTGTACATAATGGGTATTTGACACAACCATGAGATGATGTTAAGCATCACAGCAACTCCAAGTTGTTCAGTACAGCACATAGACAAATGATTGCTGTGTCTTTTAAAGAATATTCTTCTAAAATTAATAAATTTGGCCCTACAGGATTTTAAAGCCACACCCTCTACCCTTACCCTTAGTCTAAGGCTCAAGGGCCACTCACTTTTGAGGGGGGAAAAAGGAACAGTAACACACAACAAAAAGGACCCCAGAAACTTCCCTTGCCTGACTGCCATCAAGACGGGACCACCAACGAGATGCCAGCCAGCCAGCTGACTTCCATAGTGGAGGGAGACATGACCATAAGGACATCAATCTAAAATAATTAGTAAAGAGAAAATGTTATCACAAGAAATGGTTATCACAAGAGTCCACAATTAAGGTTGCATAGTGGAATGTACTTGGGGCGGTGGGAGGGGTGGGGGGGGGGGGATTGTGTACCAGGGAAGGAGTGTTTCTTTTACTTTTGAAAGATAGGAGCGAACTGCGGGGGTGGGGGGGAGGGCTGAGGGGGGAGAAAAGTGTAACAATGAATGAATGGAAATCCAAAATCTCTGTAAATACTCATTAAAATTATTTTAAAAAAGAGAAAATGTATTAATTTTTATGTACAGTCATTTAACAGGCGAGGTACATCAAACAGACCAGACCTCTAAGTTGTTCTTTTTCTTTTTTTTCTTGTTGTGTACTATTGAGTCAGATCTGACTGGCAGAGGAGTAGATTGCCACTCCTTCTTCAGCAGAGCTTCTGTTGGATTCAAACCACGTGCCTTTGGGATTGCAGTGCAGCTTCTTGCCACTAGATCACCAGAGCTCCCTTAAATTGTTCTTAATTAAAATGCTTCCCACCCTAACTCAAGCTTTTCCTCAGCCCGTCTCCCTACAGGACTCTACAAGCTTCTACTTCTTCCCCTCCAGGGAGTGTTCTGTTTTTTGAGCTGTTAGGTGCTTTTGAGTTGACTGACTCATAGGATCCCATATACAGCAGATCGAAACCTTGTCTGATTTAACAGTCTCCTTTGTGCTTAAGTCCATTTTTGGATGTTGATCCATCTCCTTTGATGACCCTATGTTTTTCCTTGCATGATGTCCTTTTTCAAGGACTAGCCCCTCTGATAACACACTTAGAGTATGTTAAGAAGCCAGTCCCTTTCTTTCGTAGCTCCAGCTCGGCTACATTGGATAAAAGTATAGGTGACTTTTTAAAAACATCTTAAGATTTCTTAGCCCTCATTCTTTGAGAAATGCATATTTTCTCAGCCTCCTTATCTTGATGTCTTGCTAGGGAACATTTTTTAAATGTCTTTTTTTTGGATCTGAGTTCTAAGAATTAGGTGTAAGAACCACATATGTCAACTGATCAGCACAAAGTTGAGAAGTACTATTCAACTTTTTGGTTCTGGATCCTTTGCATCTGCTAATGCAATCTGATTAGATATTTTGAAGATTTACATTAATCTTATTATTATGAAAACTAGATCTTTTTCATGTATAAAACTAACTGACTCCAAAATTTTTTGCACATTTGCTTTGGAATTCAGTTAGAGTGTGTCTAATTATGCAAGACTTGACAGGAAATGGAAAAACAGGACTTAAGTTTCCTCTCCATTTGTATCCTTTGTTGGTAACAAAATTAGAAGTAGTTTTTTTCCCAGGGTCTCCTAGGGAAAAGGTTAAGAAAGAAGGTTAACCATGCGTGACTGTGACCACTAGGATTATAGTTCCTGGCTTCACAGGCTCTTCGTGACCCAATGTGCAATAAAATGAAACCCTTTCTGATCCTTTGCCATCCTCCTAGTTTTTGCTGTGCCAAAGCCCATCGCTGCCATCACTGTTACTAGTCTCTCTAGTTGAGGCTCTTTCTCTCTTTTCTGACCATTTACCTTTCTACATACATCTTTTTCTAAGCACTGGCATTTCCTGAGAAACATGCCTAAAGTATGTGAGATGACATTTCTCCATCCATACCTCTAAGAAGCACCCTTAGTTGCACTTCCTTCAAGACAGATTATTTTTTTCCCTTTGCTGTTTGTGGTATATTCAATATTCTTGGTCAACACCAAAATTCAAAGGCATCATTTCTTTGGTCTTTTTTAAATTCACTGTCTTAACTTTCACATGCATATGAAGCAATTGAAGTATCATGGCTTGGAATCAGGTGCACTTTAGTCTTTAAACTGACATCCTTGCTCTTTGTCACTTTAACAAGGTCTTTGTCAGCACATTTACCCAATACAATGCAATATTTGATTTCTTTTTTAATTTTTTTTAATTCTTTCATTGTTGAGCATTTTCTTCCTTTTCCCTCCCTTCTTTTACCCAGTACATTTTGCAGTGCACCTTTGGTTTCAGATTATTGTTGAGCATATAATGTCTAATCATATATTCCCTTTGAACCATTCTTGCCCTTATCTCTTTCAATGTAGTGTTTATTATCTATTAACTCTTTTCCTTTTCTCACCTCAAACCCCCCCACTCCATCAGTCCTATTTTATAATAGTGATGTTATGCAGTATTGGTCCTTTTATTTTATTTTTTAAATTTTTATTTTATTAATTTTAATGAACTTTTACAGAGATTTTGGATTTCCATTCATTCATTGTTGAGTTTTTCTCGCTGCCCACCCCTCCTTCCAGTTCACTCTTTTTTTTTCTTTTCCAGTTTGCTCTTATCTTTGAAAACGAAAAGAAAAATTATTTCATTGCTGTACAATCCCCCCCACTATCCGCCCTCCCCCAAGTACACTCTGCTATGTAACCTTCATTCTGGACTCATGTCATAACCATAATAACCAATTATATATCGCTTTTACGACTGAGATATTTCATTCAGCATAATGTCCTCCAGGCTCACTCCCATTGTGTAATGTTTTATGAGTTCATTGTTTTTCATTGCTGCATAATGTTCCACTGCTTGAATGTACCATAGTTTTTCTATCCATTTGTTGTGCACTTGGGTTGCTTCCATCTCTTTGCTATTGTGAATAATGCAGCAATAATCATGGGTGTGTAGTGTTTGAGTTCTTGACTGCTGCTTCCATGGTTGTTAATTATGGATCCAAGTAAAATGAAATTAATCGTGCTGTTGTTTATTAGTCCAGTTGTCAGGACTTTTGGTTTCTTTATGCTGAAGTATATGCAATCCAATATATTCTTTGATCTTCATCTGTAAATGCTTTAAGTCCTTTTTTTTAAAAAAAAAATAGAGATGTTGTGTCATCCTCATATCCCTGGTTGGTAATGAGTCTTCCTCTAATTCTGGTGCCACTTTCCCCCCCAAATTCTAGCTTCATGGATTGTTTGCTCAGAATACAGATTGAATAAATATAAAGAGAGGTTACACCCCTGATGTACGACTTGCCTAGTTTTAGAACATGCAGTGTTTTCTTGTTCTTTTTGAAGCAGTTGCTTTTTAGTACATGTTCTGCATAAATATAGTTGAGTGTTCTGGAATTACCAACTTTTACAATCGGAGATTGATCAAACATGCAATCAAGATGCATTGATAATAATGGGTGACTGGAATGCAAAAGTTGGGAACAAAGAAGAAGATTCAGTAGTTGGAAAACATG